TTTTATGTCTTAACCTTGATTTTGAGTAGAGATTTGGCTTATTGTTTAGCATATCTTATTATCATTCGTTTAAAATATGGCGTTGTAATTGCATATTTTTCACTCTTGTGAAATGTACCCCTGGTGAGTACCGTTAAGTTTACAGACTTATAACAATAATCCGAGGCTCGATTTCCCGAGATGGACAGAGTACAGATAGACCATTGTGTAGCTTTGCACTAAGAAACCAACAACAGACCTTGTGAAATCTTGAATATGCAACCTACACGTAATGGAATTGTATGCAACAATGACATGTTGACCAACTGTTACAATATCTCTTCTGTGTTAGGATGGAGTACATACAAAACCGAAAATTTGGCCAAATCTGGAGCACTGCCTAAGTCGCTCGAAATACTGGAATGCAACTGTTTTTATTATGCTAATGGACGGTTGCATACATAAACAGTGAAACTTTTCAATAAGAAGCAAAACATGTAGTAAACAAAGGCAGAAGAACACGAAACAATATTCCACTGACAGATATAAATCTGAACTACGATTAGACAGCAGAGCAAAACATGTAGTAAACAAAGGCAGAAAAACACGAAACAATATTCTACTGACAGATATAAATCTGAACTACGATTAGGTCTGCTGTCTAATCGTAGTTCAGATTTATATCTGTCAGTGGAATATTGTTTCGTGTTTTTCTGCCTTTGTTTACTACATGTTTTGCTCTGCTGATCACATATATTCACATTTTAAAGGATATTTTGATAATTTTAACAGTTAATTGTTCAACACACCTACTTCGTTAAAACTGTAACAACTTAAAGGCTTAGGGGCGGAGTGTAAGTGCGACTTGAGGGAACGGCGTAGAGGCCTAAAACGATAAGGGTTCGAATCCTATTTTGGGCGGAATCTTATTTCTAATTATTTTTCCGATAATAATGAACACCAAGAAGCAGTGATATTTTATCAAAACACGTTACGTGTACAAAAACAGTCAACTTAGAATAAACGGTTCAGCCATATGAAGATGTGATAGCAAAAAAAGAGCCAAGTTATATCCAAGGGTAAATTCTGTAACAGTTGGTAATCCAAAAAAAAAAGGGGGGGGGTTCATATAGGTGTATAGTTTGTACCTGAAGTTGTCTTTGCATGTTCATATGTGTATTTGTCCCACCAAACATGCTCGCCCTTTCAGCCGTGGGGGTGTTATAATGTGACGGTCAATCCCACTATTCGTTGGTAAAAGAGTAGCCCAAGAGTTGGCGGCGGGTGGTGATGACTAGCTGCCTTACACTGCTAAATTAGGGACGGCTAACGCAGGTAGCCCTCGTGTAGCTTTGCGCGAAATTCAAAAACAAACCCTACGTATTGCACCTATAAAAATTCATAGTTTGTTTAAGGCTTAACCTATATCTGCTGGATATTATAACTCTGGGGAAAACAAAGTTCCATTTATCGTATATTAGCGACTAGTCCATTATGTTCAGAAGCAAGATACATCAATCCAGAGACAACTTTTTTCTTCTACTTAGAAATACAACATTCACACACCCCTTAATATAGAAGGGAGATTTTTTTTTATTTAATCGATAACAATAATTTCAAAGCAAGTATCTTAAGCTTAACAAATTTAACCTGTAATTACGCAGAAATTCTAACGTCAAGCAGATGTGATGATTCGCTCCCTTAGATTTGGTTAGGCCTAACTTCAAGCTTATCAATAGCTCAGTAGCATGTGGTGTCGTGGTTCAGTAAAAACCGATTTTTTTTTTTTTCACTTAATACTTCACGAACGTCAGTAGTATATATATATATAATGAAAAGAGAACAGATGTGTACACCGTTCTAAATCCTGACATTTTAAAGTTCAACCATCCGTTAATCTCTGTCCAGATTAATGAGGTTTATTAAACTTCAAACGACACGAGTTTTGTGGTCACGTGATTGAGGAATATGGCGTATGCTAGTATTTCGTCGAACAGCCTTTTCGGTTACATTGTGGTACGTGCCAATCTTGTCCACATAATTAATGCTTGAATATTGTAATTGTATATATTTGAAGCTATTGTGATGATTTAAATCATTCCCATTTTGAAGATCCTAGACGCACCGCTTTGACTAGAGACAAGTAACCCTCTAAGATCTTCTTCAGTTAAACTTTGACTAAACTCGTTTGAAGCATAAAGGAGTCTTTATCTAATCCCCCAAAATGAGAAAATTAAAAAATATACAGAGAGGTAAATCCGGCCATAAATTCAAATACAATAACCTCAATATCACAAACCAAAATGTAACATATTTAACCTTGTTCTCCAGAATATCAGTTTAATTTTTTTAAATTCTGAAACTTGATTTATTATTGAATTAGGAATGCTGGTATATCTGTCTGTGGGCAACTTCTCTTATAGTAGCAGTCATTTTAATAGCTGAATATGAATGAGTAGACTCTGGTATTGGGCGTATTAACAGTTGAAGATGAATGAGTAGACTTTGGAAGATGATTGTTTGTTTGTTATTAAGCACAAAGCTACACAAAGGGCTATCTGTGCTCTGCCCATCACGAGTATCGAAACCCGGTTTCTAGCGTCGTAAGTCCACAGATATGCCGCTGTGCCACTGGGGGGCGTTGAACATGAATGAGCAGACTACATGTTGTCTACTAAATGTAAAGTACTAGCTTATAAAATTAGACGAATCATAGACATTTATATCAGTAAGATTATAAATGATACCAGCCATAAATATTTGAATGAACTTATTAAGAAAAAAAAATTGATTCGTAAATAAGAAATAATAATTAAGCAGGTTATTATCCAATATATATATATATATATAAAGGCCCCCCAGTGGCACAGCGGAATGTCTGCGGACTTACCAAGGCTATAAACCGGGTTTCGATACCCGTGGTGGGCAGAGCACAGATAGTCCTTGTGTAGCTTTGTGTATAATTAAAAACAAGCGAACAAACAATAAAAAAGCTATTAAATAGAAATATTTTGTTCAATTTGATTATGGCTCAATACAAGGATCGTTAAATATATAAAGGAATGCTTACCCTTCCAGTCAACAGTTGCATACCCTTCCAGTCAACAGTTGCAGTTATTTAAAAAAATCGGCGATAAAAATGACTATAATTTAAAAAAATAAAAAAACAACAACAACTCAGAATCTACCTTGAAACTTTGAATGCGATATTTAATTTATTTACCGCTATTATCGACGGGTCTTATAATCAACAAAATCGGCCACTGAATATGTGACAAACACGTGTTTATGTTGTTACTTTACTGGAATGTATCCTCTAAACTACCACAATCGGGTTCGTGTTGTTACTTGACTAGAGTGTAATCTCTAAACTACCATAATCGGGTTATTACAGTTAACCTGTTTTAAGTCAAATTTAGAATTATAACAGTTTTTATATATTTGAACCTTAGATGACGACGACGAAGAAGAAAAGACCACTAAACCATCTCAAGGTAAGCGATTTACTTTTAATGATTACGATTGTTACTGTTTAATTTTGAATCTAATTTATCGTTGAATTTTGAATCTTACTTATTGTTGAATCATGAACGTTACTTATTGTTGAATGATGAATGTTACTTCTTGTTGAATGGTGAATGTTACTTATTGTTGAATGATGAATGTTACTTCTTGTTGAATGGTGAATGTTACTTCTTGTTGAATGATGAATGTTACTTCTTGTTGAAAATAAGAATCTTACTTATTGTTGAATAACGAATCTCACTTTTTGTTGAATTATGAATCTTGCTATAATGTTGAACGATGAATCTTACTTTCTTCTTGAGTGATGTATCTTACTTATTGTTGAATTATGAATCTTACTATATTGTTGAATGATGAATCCAACTTATTGTTGAATGATGAATCCAACTTATTGTTGAATAATGAATCCAACTTATTGTTGAATGATGAACCTTAATTATTGTTAAATTATGAATCTTACTTTATTGTAGAATAAAAACATTACTGATTTTTGAATCATGAGTCTTACTTATTTTTGATTGATGAATTTTACTTATTTTAGAATTACGAATGTTACTTATTATTAAGTGATGAATGTTACTTATTACTGAGTGATGAATCTTTCTTATTATAGAATAACGAACATTACTGATTGTTGAATCATGAATCTCACTGATATTGAAGTGTATTTTCACAGAGACAATTTAAGAACTTTTTTTGACATTTTAAGCTTCTTTAAGTACTGTTTGAACAAAATGAAAGATATCTGACATTTAAATGTTTTTCGCATTTAATTTGCTTCTTATTTTAACAAGATATGTGTCGTGTCCAAAATTCTTGATTTTCTGTTTTACTTTTTTAGCTTAAAATGATCATATAATGTTCTTAAGTTAATCGATAGCTTTAACTTTACTAGAATTATGTAACTACTAGATAACATCATAAATAATATTCAACGTTAAACTGGTACACAATTAAAAACATTTTATTTAGGCCTATCTATGGCCTTCAAAAAAGTTGACGACTTTACATGTTTCTGAAGATGACGTTGTAACGTCGAAACATGTAGAGTCGTCAACTTTTTGAAGGCCATAGATAGGTCTAAATAAAATGTTTTTAATTGTGTACCAGTTTAACGTTGAATATTATTTATGATTTTAACTTTATATACAAGTGCCAAAATACTATAATTACTAGATAACATTTAAACCAATGTCAATGACTTATTTCAAGCTGTTATATGTAGTTTTAAACAAAACCAACAATATTGTTAACGGCATAAATATACTGATGTGTAAGAAATAAGAGCTTTTAATTAAGTATAACTGGTATCGTATTAATTGGTGAAACATTACAGTTTTTCTTTATCTAGTAAGAAAATACACGGAACAAATATTTCACTTTCCGGTAGGATTTGATTTTACATCAGTTTGAAAGAAAATTGTATATTTTTTGACAGCTTTTTCGATGGACGATATAGCTTCCCCTGCCGGCTGTGAGCCAGAATATCAGAAAATTGAGTTTCCAGTATCTCGTGACCCTCTTACTGTGTTATGGCCTACTTGTACGCGTGTTAAACGCTGCAGTGGATGTTGCCCAAGCCATCTTTTAGAATGTGTACCTACCCACAATTCAACAGCTTCATTCAAGGTAGATTAATTACAAACCTTCGATTGTTAAAATATTATTAACGTAGGCTGTTGTTGTTGTTTTGAAGTTAAGCACGAAGCTGCACAATGGGCTATATGTGCTCTGCCCACCACGGGTATCGAAACCCGGTTTCTAGCGTTGTAAGTCCGCAGATACACCGCTGTGCCACTGGGGGGTATTAACGTAGGCGTGTTTCCAACAGTTTCTGTTGCTGATCGCTCTGTGGAGACCAGTTATTGATATAAATCACGTTGTTTCCGATATCCCATTCCGTAGTATTCCCCTTTTTTTTTTTCATAAAGTAAATTAAATTGTGTATCTTATAAATTACAAGTATTTTATATCCCAGTTCTTTTATGATTTAGTGTGGTTGAACATACTATTATTGTACACTCTTCTCATTCTTCAAAATCACAAAATAACTTGAAAAGTAGATTAAGAATGTAGGCCTAACGTGATGTCTTATTGACAAGTATAATTAATTATAATCCGGGTTGTAATAGGCGTTCACAACATAACAATTATGTTTCCAACAGCCTCCTGTTGCTGGTTGCTCTATGAAGACCAATTATAGAACTAAACCACGTGATTTCCGACACTATTTCGTAACATTTCCCTTTTCGTTCTTAAAGTAAATTAAATCGTGTATCTTCTTGTAGACCTATAAGTATTTCATGATCTAGTTTCGCGTGCTTAAGATATGTTTTGATACAATAACGATATGCAAGTACACACTTTAGTGTTTTATATACTTCACGGGTATATGTTATTCGTATGGCACGTGCCAAACTTATTCAGCAAAAGTAAATGGTTGACTGAATACATAGCGATATACGGTGAATAAACTTTCGTTATGTATTTACGCATTTTGACACAACACCAGTGTTTTATATCATTTAGTGTATCCAGTAGGTCCGCTTGAAATGGTGTTTTTTAATAGAGGGGGGGGGGGATCTAGAAATCTAACGATGAATTTATTCACCACTACGATGTTGTTAGTTCTTTTGGTGCTGATGTATTTAATTGTGGTAGACATAACTGTTGTTGTAATATGGACTATTTGTGCACAAAACCTTGGTGAGTTATTAGTAAATCAAAAACGAAATGTAGATGGCGTGGTAACTAATCTCTTATGCACACACAAAAAGAGACAACGTTATTAGATATATATATCAATTTCGAAAAAAAAAACAAACGTTATGAGATATATATATATATATATAT